CAGAAACCACTGGAAGTCACTGGACGTCACTGGAGCTTCCATTCCAGTGATAAAAATCTTCACTGGAATGTTCCAGTGACATTCGATCACTGGAAGCTATAATGCTTCCAATTCCATCCAGTTAAGTCCAGTCATCTTCCAATTCCAGTAATTCCCACTGGAACGTTCCAGTGAACAACACTGCCTTATACCATGTACCAAATGGCATTTTAAAATGAGAGGATATTTAAAATTACGGTTTCGGGATAAATTTTTTTGTTTGCGAAGTGATAAATTATATATAGATATGCATATTTATATCTCAACTTTTAGTAAACATTATTAGAATTTAATTGTCGGGTTAATAAACGACAACTATAGCAGACTCATAATAAGAATTTAAGTCGCAATGAAATACACCTAAATTCAACTAATTGTACGAGAAAAAATTGATTAGACAAAAAATTGCTATACATACCAAGAATAAAGCTCGCACTTTGAGTATAACCCAATGAATTAGAACTTTATTTATTATCGTTATCAATAACATTTAAAGTAGCTCTAAATTTATACATACGATTGATTAATATAAAAATTTATTGATTTTTCAATGGTCTTTGACTTATATACCAATAAACTTGTGTTATTTTTGTAGCCCATCCTGGTGATAAACTGTTATGATGTTCTGTATGTATATTATTTAATAAATACCATACCTGTTTAGAAATTGCAGAATTAGGTAGAATCGATAAAAGACAACATGCAAATTCACTTAAATTTGGGGCTGTATTTAGCAAAGTATGCCAGTATCTTAGTAGGAATTTTGTAAAACTTGGATTTTTAACAGATGATGCAGAAATGGTTTCTTTTGATTTGAGTAATTTAACTACTCATCAATAAATTGGTCTTGATTACAATCTGGGTAAAAGATGCAAAACAGGCTTTATACAGCTTCTTGAACATATAAAAGCCATGTTAAATTTAATTCTTTACTATAATGATATGATGAAATTAAATAATTAATTTTTTTTTTTTTTTGGTATTAAGGTGAGGCCTTGCTCATATCTTTATATATTAATTAATTTATATAAGTAGTTATATAGAAAACTATATAAAAACTTGATTTGTACAAAGACAAATACATATAAATTATATGCAAGAATAAGAGCTCAGACTAAAAGCTCAAACTAAAAGCTTAA